TATTTTATGTACGTAAGTATCTGGGCAAATGTGGTGGCTACATCACAGTAGACATTTGTTAGTATTCAATAAACTGCACACTTAAAAAAAAATAAATAAACTGCACACTTAAAAATAAGTGTACTTTATTCATGTAAATTTTCCTTCAGTTAAGTTAAAAGAAGACTTTCAAGTGGGTAGAGCCTCTCAAGTGGGTGGCTCAAGGCTGTAAACCCAACTTGTCCTTTTCCTCCACAAATCAGCACATCTGAACTGGGAGCCGGCTGCAGTCCGTGCTAGCTTCTGTGCTGTGAGGTAAGGGTACAGTGACACAAGTCTCCTAAGATTTAGCCTGAAGGACAGATGTTAATGTAATTATCAAACAGGCAAATGTCATTGTTACAACGGTAATGCGTGTATCTCCTCCCACCTTCTCAGTGGATTTCATAAAGGGAAACAGTACAGTCCTCATTCAAAGGATGGGCATGACTGCTATAAAGCAAATTGTGGATGATCTATTCGAATGGAGGGTTCTGAATGGTGAAGAAGTCAATGTCATTTGCTGTGAGAAGGTGGAGCAGGAGGCGGCGCGTGGGATCATCCATTTGGTTTTGAAGAAGGGCTCAGAGTCCTGTAAGCTTTTTCTTCAATCCCTCGAGAAGTGGAACTATGCTCTATTTCAGGATCTGAGTGGACAAAGTAAGTATCAGTTCACATGGGGCTGGGGATTTAGCTCAGCGGCACAGCGCCTGCCTGGCAAGCGCAAGGTTGTGAGTTTGATTCCCGGTATTGGAAAAAAACAAAAAGAAACTTCACTTGCATGTGTTTCTCCAGATAGAATAAATCACAACAAGGATCCCTAATCTGGTGATATGGGTCCCTCTTCATACCACCTGGCAGTGGGCTTTGATTCATGCTTGACAGCAAAGCCAAATAACCCAGGGCCAGGGAACAAATGTCTTAGTAATGTCTCACTTCGAATTATCCTGGGCTACACCAGCCCTCAGGCTAACATTCTTTAGTGCACTGTGGGGAGTGGCCCAGCTGACTGCCTCCTTCTGGACCCAAGCACAGTGATAAAGGAGCCTGACTGACTCGGGCTCCTTGAGTCTGGGTCCACTCTTCATGAAATGGTAACTTAACTTTCATTACTTCAAACTAGTAAATTATGTCACAATAGATGAAGGCTTAATCTGTTGAAAGTTACCCCTAACCATCATTACCAGCCAATTCTTTCACTTGCCCTCGCCCAAACATAGGCTCCTCCCACTATCAATCAGCTGCTGTCAGAGCTGGGCGTGAAAAGCAGGTGAAAGCACAGAGAGGGGAAAGGGTTCGGAAGGAAAAGCAGGAACAGATATGCAGAGCCCTTTATGCCAGCTCAGAGCTGGGGAAGGGAGTTAAAGTCACAGTAGCAGCTTCCCCGCCTCTCCTCTCTTCCTACCTGACCTCCAGGCTGTGAGCAGATGCAGAACTGTGACCTCTCTCACATCGCTTCTTCTCTAACAGGTCTTTTTCAACAGATTCCAGAAGGAGACTTAGATGATTTGGCTCAGGATTTAAAGATCTTATACCATACTCCATCTTTTCTGAACTTCTATCCTCTGGGGGAAGATTTTGACATAATTTTTAATTTGAAAAGCATCTTCACAGAACCTGTCCTGTGGAGGAAGGACCAACACCACCGCCGTGTGGAGCAGCTGACCCTGAATGGCCTGCTGGAGACCCTGCAGAACCCCTGCATCATTGAAGGGGAATCCGGCAAAGGCAAGACCACCCTGCTGCAGAGAATCGCCATGCTCTGGGCCTCCGGGAAGTGCAGTACTCTGACCAAGTTCAGATTTGTCTTCTTTCTCCGTCTGAGCAGAGCCCAGGGCGGACTCTTCGAAACCCTATGTGATCAGCTGCTGGATGTACCCGACACGATCAGGAAACGGACCTTCATGGCCGTGTTGCTGAAGCTACGGCAGGGGGTTCTTTTTCTCCTGGATGGCTACAATGAATTCAAGCCCCAGAACTGTCCAGAAATTGACGCCCTGATAAAGGAAAACCACCGTTTCAAGAACATGGTCATTGTCACCACCACCACTGAGTGTCTGAGGCATATAAGGCAGTTTGGTGCCCAGACTGTGGAGGTGGGGGATATGACAGAGCACAGTGCCCAGGTTCTCATCCGAGAAGTGCTGATCAAGGAGCTTGCCGAAGGCCTGCTGCTCCAAATCCAGCACTCCAGGTCCTTGCGGAATCTGATGAAGACCCCTCTCTTTGTGATCATCACTTGTATAATCCAGATGGGCGAGGATGAGTTCCATGCTCAGACACAAACCACACTCTTCCGTACCTTCTATGATCTGCTGATACACAAAAATAAGCACAAACACAGGGGCGGGACTGCAGCGGACTTCTCCCGGAGCCTAGACCACTGTGGAGACCTGGCTCTAGAGGGTGTGTTCTCCCACAGGTTTGACTTTGAGCTGGACGATGTGTCCAGTGCAAACGAGGATGCCCTGGTGACAACTGGACTCCTCTGTAAACACACAGCTCAAAGGTTCAAGCCCAAGTATAAATTCTTTCACAACTCCTTCCAGGAGTACGTAGCAGGACGCAGGCTCAGTGGTTTATTGACGTCTCCTGAGCCAGAGGAGGTGGCCAAGGGGGATGCGTACTTGCAGAAGATGGTTTCCATTTCAGACATTACCTCCCTGTACAGCAACCTGCTGCTGTACACGTGCGGGTCATCGGCTGCAGCCACCAGGGTTGTTCTGAGGCACCTCGCAGGGGTGCATCAACATGGCAGCCTGCTAGGGCTGTCCGTTACCAGGAGGCCTCTCTGCAGGCAGGGGTCTATACAGAGCATGAACAACACCACCGACCAAGAGATTCTGAAAGCCATCAACATCAATTCCTTTGCAGAGTGCGGTATCAATTTATTCCAGGAGAGTGTATCCAAAGCAACCCTGAGCCAAGAATTTGAAACTTTCTTTCACGGTAAAAGTTTGTACATCAACTCAGAGAATATCCCCGATTACTTATTTGACTTCTTCGAACATTTGCCTAATTGTGCAAGTGCTCTGAACCTCGTTAAACTGGACTTCTATGGAGGGGCCTTGGCTTCACAGGACAAGGCTACTGCAGAGGAGGTCTCCGAAACCTACATTCCCAGCAGGGCTGTGTCTTTGTTCTTCAACTGGAAGCAGGAGTTCCAGACTCTGGAGGTCATACTCCGGGATTTCAGCAAGTTGAATAAGAAAGATGTCAAATACCTGGGAAAGATCTTCAGCTCTGCCGCAAGCCTCCGACTGTATATTAAGAGGTGTGCCGGTGTGGCCGGAACCCTCAGCTCGGTGCTCAGCACCTGTAAGAACATTTGCTCCCTTATGGTGGATGCCAGTCCTCTCACTGTAGAGGACGAGCAGCACATCACCTCCGTGACCAACCTGACAACTCTGAGTATTCATCACCTCCAGACTCAGCGCCCGCCAGGTACTATATACACCTGCAGGTTAAGCTCTATCCACATGGGCTGGGTACTGTGGAAATATTAGACAGCACAGGTTTGGTTTTAAAATTTCTAGCTGGGTGTGGTGGTGTACATCTGTAATCCCAGCACTTGGGGAGCTGAGGCAGGAGGATCACTGCAAGTTCGAGGCCAGCCTGGGCTACATAGTAAGTTCAAAGCTAGCCTGGACTACTAGTGAGAACTTGTCTCCAAAATTTCTTAATTAATTAATTAAAATCTCTAATAGTTTCTACCAGGTTTCAGGACTTGAGAGGTGGGAGGTCTCACCCAGGCTGGGCTCAAATTTGTGATCGGGCTGTATAAATCTCCCCAAATGCTGAGATTAGGGGCTGGGGATTTAGCTCAGCGGCAAAGCGCCTGCCTGGAAAGCGCAAGGTCGTGAGTTCGGTTCCCGGTACCGGACAAAAACCAAAAAAAAAAAAAAAAAAAAAAAAAAAAAAATGCTGAGATTATAGGTTTGCCCACCATGACTAGCTCAGATTTTTTTTTTTAATGTTTGTAATTTCCAGACCAATAGCGTCACTTTGAAAATGACTTGACATATAAAATTCACAACATGCAGGGGGCTTTTGCAAAAACAGATTTAGGTTAAAGAAAGGCAAATGAGCCGGGTGTGGTGGCACATGCCTGTAATCCTAGCACTCGGGAGGCTGAGGCAGGAGGATCTTTGTGAGTTCAAGCCCAGCCTGGGCTACAAAGTGAGCTCAAGGCCAGCCTGAACTGCATAGTGAGACCCTGTCTCAAAAAGACAAAAAAAGAGAAAGAAAAAGAAAGGCAAATGACCAGGCTAGAAATGTATATTCCTAAGAAATCACATAATCTCATTAACATTCCAAGGCTGTTTTTCAAATAAGGGAGGTATACTGACCAGCATTCCCATTGTTCGGACAAAATATCTGGTACTTGAAGGTTAGGGGAGGAAGGATTTATTGTGCTTTACAGTGTCAGAGGTTTCAGCCCATGGTCTACTGGTTCCAAGGTAGAAGGACCATGGTGGGAGGGCATGGTGGAGGAAACTGGTACATCTGCCAAATAGAGAGCAGGGAGAAATGCTAGAAAGGAAAGGGGTAGCGACCAGATGCTATCTCTGAGCTCACATTTCCCTGACACACTTCTTCCGAGAAGTCCCCATCTCCTTATATCCCATTCAGCTATAAACTCACCCATGCGTGAGTCCATTGAGGGGATTAGTGCCTTCTCACCAAATCACTTCTCCAAGTGTCTCCTAATCCAGTCAATTTGACAAGCAAGATTAAATAGCACAGGAGGAAACCTAGAGCTGTTCTTGAATGGCTTCTTTTTCTTAAAATTGTGTGTGTTGTATTTATCAATAACAAATGATAAACCTTACAAATTTACAGATTGGGGCTGGGGATAAAATAGCTCTGTAGTAGAATCCTTGACTACGATGTATGAGGTGTTGGATTTGATTCCCAGCACTGAAAAAAAAGGGGACAAAGGAAAAAACCCACAATTTCTACTTAGTATCAATATTTTTTCCAAGAAAAAATTCAACTGTTATTCTAACTGTAAATGGAAACTCAGATCAGAGTATGAAAGCTATCTAAGTGTTCACTAAAGAATGCAAAAGCTGTATACTTTGGATTCTTGTTGAACCAGTTTTGGTTATAGATAAAGGGTCTGAATGTTTTCTTCACTGTTTTTCAAAATTGAATCTGGGTGTGGTAGTATGCACCTGCAGTCCCAGCTGCTCAGGAGGCTACAGCAAGGGCTCGCTTGAACCCAGGAGTTCAAGCCTGGGAAACATAGTGACCCTATCTAGTGAATGAATGAATGAATGAATGAAGAATAAATGAATGAAAAAAGCCTTTAATATTAAAGGTCCTTTGAAAATGACTTGAGTGTAAGGCTACTGGTACTGTTAAGAGAGATACCTTTTTTAAGAGGAAAAATAACTTTATCTTCCATTTGAGCATATTTAATTAATGAGCAAGGCCAAGGACAAAGGTCTTTGGCATTAGATTTAGGTGCTTCTAGGAGGCCATCAAAAAATGACCTGTACTCATATTTTGGACATAGTTGTTCAGTCATTCAAGCAGCAATATTATCCATATCATGTTTCTAAAATGTTATGAAGACTTCCTTTATGGTCCAGAAGATGATCTATTGTGGTAAATGTTCCGTGCACGCTTGAAAAGGGTGTGTATTCTGCTGCTGTGCGTTGGGGTCAGTGTGGATCGGGTCACCTTGCTTTATAGCACTACTCAAATGTTCTCACACTTACTGGTTTTCTCACTGTCTATCAGTACGGACAACAGGGTATTATAGTCACTGGCTATCTGTGTATTTCTCTGGTTTTCTTCTCAGTTATGTTTTTTGAGTTCTTTATATAGTCTAGTTATGAATCATCTGTCAGAAGACTGACTAACAAAGATTTTCTCCCGGTTTTTCTTTTTCTTTTCTTTTTTTTTTGTCTTTTTTTGAGACAGGGTCTTGCTCTGCAGTTCAGGCTGGCCTTGAGCTCACTGTGTAGCCCAGGCTAGTCTCGAACTCACAACGATCCTCCTGCCTCAGCCTCCTGAGTGCTGGGATTATAGGCATGCGCCACCACGTCTGACTGCAGTTTTTCTCTTTGTATACTGTCTCTTCACTCTTCGACTGTTTCCTTTGCTGTATAGTAGCTTTTAAATTTGATATAATCCTGTCAACTCTTCCTATTATTTCCTGAGTAACTGGAGTCATAGTCAGAAATCACTGCCTTATACCAGTATCTTCAAACAATTCCCCTGTTTTTCTGTAGTAGTTGCAAAGTTTCAGGTGTTACATTAAGTCTTTGGTCCATGTTTTGTTTTGTTTTGTTTGAGACAGAGACTCATATGTAGTTCAGGCTGGCTTTGAACTCACTATGTAGACCACGGTGGCCTCAAGTGCACAGTGATCTTCCTGCCTCGGCCTCCCGAGTGCTGGATTGTAGGTGTGTGCCACCACACCCAGTCTATTGGTCCATTTTGAGTTGATTTTTGTAGAGGGTGAGAGATGGGGATCTAGTTTCAGTCTTCTACTGGTAGATGTAATTTCCCCAGCACCATTTGTCTTTTCAGTGTATGTTTTCAGCTCTTTTGTTGAGAATCGAATGGTTGTAGATGCACGGGTTCTTTATTCTATTCTATTGGTCTGTACACTTTAATGCCAACACCATGCTTGTTCATAGAATGGTGCCATAGTAATTTTTTTGTTTTGATTGTTTTGAGAGGTTTTGCTATGTACTTCAGACTGACCTTGAACTCACTGTGTAGCCTAGGCTGGGCTCAAACTCATGGTGATTGTCCTGCCTCCGCCTCCTGAGTGCTGGGAGTAAGATGTGTGCCACCACACCCAGTGTCCATAGTAATTTTGAAATTAGATATTGCAATGCCTCCGGCATAGTCCTTTTTGCTCAGGATTGCTTTGGCTATTCAAGATCTTTTGTGCTTCCATATAAATTTTAGTACTGTTTTTTTCTAGTTCTTTGAAGAATGTCTTTATTTTACTGTGCTCATGGCATCTCCCTTGTCGGGCAAGTATATCACTGGTATTTTGATGGTGACCGCATTAAATCAGTAATCATTTGCAGTAGTATGGTCATTTTATTTTTTTTGGTTTTTTTTTCTGGTATCAGGAATTGAACTCACGACCTTGTACAGGCAGGCGCTGTGCCGCTGAGCTAAATCCCCAGCCCTATGTATGGTCATTTTAATAATATTAACTCTCAATTCTCTCAATCCATGAATGTGGGTGATCCTTCCCTCCACTAGTGTCTTCAGTTTCTTTCTTCAGTGTTTTATAATTTCCACTACAGACCTCCTTTACCTCCTTGGCTAGGCTTATTCTTAGGTGTTTTATATTTTTTGAGCCTATTATGAATAGGATTGTGAGCTGGGCGTGGTGGCACATGCCTGCAATCCCAGTACTTGGGAGGCTGAGGCAGGAGAGTTGTTGCGAGTTCAAGACCAGCCTGGGCTACAAAGTGCACTCAAAGACCAGCCTGAACTGCACAGAGAGACCCTGTTTCAAAAAAGACAATAAATAAATAAAGAAAGAAAGAAAGAAAGAAAGAAAGAAAGAAAATGAATAAGATTGTGTCCCAGTTACTTTTCTCTCATTGCTGAGATAAAATACCTGATGCCCAAAATTAAGGAAGGAAAGGTTTATTTAGCTTATGGTTTGCTGAGGTTTCAGTCCATAAGCAGTTGGCTCCAAGGCAGGGTGGTGTGGCCGAGGAGCAACAGCTTATGGTGGTGGAAGACACAGCAAAAGCAACAAAGCAAAAAGAGGGGAGGAGCAAGCCTCTTTCCCTCACTTGTATTGCATAGAGGCTATCCACCCTAGGGTGGGTGTAACACTCACGCTGCCAATCCCAGCACTAGACAATGAGCCAATCACAAACTGTAGATTCAGCCACATCTGAAAAGCCCACCCCCCTGAAGGCATGAGGCTTGAGAGGGACATCCAGACACAAACCGTAACAGACTGTTCTCATGAGGTTTTCCTCAGCGAGTTCATTATTGGTGTGTAGGAAAAGTACCAATTTTTGTATACAATGAATACATGTGCGGATGAGCTGAACAGATAAACTTCTCAAAAGAAAAAGTACAAATGGCCAGTGTGAGGTGTGATATAAATATGATAAATTTTTAAATTTTAAAAATTATAGCCAGCCATAGTGGCACACACATGTAAAGCAGCACTCGGGAGGTTGAGGCGGGAGGATCACTGCGGGTTTGAGGCCGGGCTGGCCTACATAAGCAAGTTCAAGACCAGTCAGAACTATAAAGCAGGGCCGGGAATATAGCTCAGTGGAATCCCGCCTGCCTGGCAAGCACAAGGTCCCGAGTTCGATTCCTGAACCAAAAAAAAAAAAAAGCCAAAACTATAAAGACACTATCTTAAAAAAAAAAAAAAAGACTGTAAAAGACATGTTAACATTAATTACCCTCAAAATAAATACCTCTTCACCTCAAAC